GTAGCTCCTGATTTGTACATCGCTATGCACCCATCGACCAGCGCAATAATTAGGTAATTGCCTTCGCTTCACATCATAAGGCTCGCTCGTATTTCACCAAACAGATATCCTACATCGAAAATCGTATTTGTTAGGAATCGTTAACGTTTTTTTTTCGAAGCATGTGTGAGTAGTAGATTGAGGAGTGATGGTCCTCTTGGTCCCATATACCTACAAGAATCAACAAGAGCCTAGCATTTACTTGACGGTCTGCTGCAATTGATTCATAGCACGTGAAACGTCAGCGAAATTCATAGTCCTTTACAGATGGCAGGGGTGTCGTTTGTACAGAGGTCGCTGATGGGCACAGGTCAATGCCGCAGTCGTGGGTGGAGCCTAATGTCATATGACGTATGAAAGCCTCTATCCAGGATGGAAAAACAGTTAACATTACGAGTCAATGACAAGTGCCACAAATATTTAAGTGACAACAAAATGTATTTGGAGAAAAAGTTTCGGCAGGTCTTGAAACAGCTATTTCCTAAATATGGTTGAAATTATTCCACGCATTTTAAAATAATCGCGAAAAATTAGGGTCTCAAGGCGTCTGGTGTTAACAGTAGTACTTCGCCACCTTATTACAATTAACGTAACTATTAACCTCAAAGAAGTGCTAATAAAGACTATCAAAAATACCGAAAAACAAGCAACAACACAAGAGCGTTTGACTTTTCTGACCCAATGCCGACGCAACAATATAATCCCAAACTTTATCAAGCACAGTAAAAGAGGCCGTGCTACTTATATGGCACGAGAATGTAATTAATATCCGTTGGTGCGATCAGTTAATTCGGCGCTTTTGTGACGTTCAATAATTTTTACATTTCTGTGCCTTGTATAGTTAACTTTTGAACTGAAGAAGGAACGTTTCCGAAATATATTCATTCATTTTAGGCTAATTTTGGATTGTTAAAAGATAGTGGGCATACGGTTATTCTTCTACGTTATACGCTGCTTCAGTATGATCATGTGCTCATGTGAACCAATTGCTACTCTGCCGTATCCGGACTAGTCATTCAGCTTTTACCTTTTACTTTTGTTCCACTCTTAATTATCATCGTCATTCTTGTATATCTATATGTACGGTTTTACTGTGCTTTACTGTGCGTGTGTTTTTTTTCGAGTAGGTGTGTGCTGTATGCGTGTTTTATTTTATGAATTGACTTCGTCTTTCAATGGGAATCCCGTCGACGATCTTGGTAAATAAATAAATAAATAAAGTAAGTGACGTCCTGCTATGAGATTCGCTGGCAGGCTTGGTCCTGTGCAGTTCCAATCATTATATATATATATATATATATATATATATATATATATATATATATATATATATATATATATATATATATATATATATATATATATATATATATATATATATATATATATATATATATATATATATATATATATATATATATATATATATATATATATATATATATATATATATATATATATACAAGTGTTGTTGAACAGAATAGAGAGTTTCGCATTTGTTATTTTTTTGCTCAGACTTTCCACGTTTCGTATAATCTTCTTATTTTCTGGCGTATGTTGAAAGAGGACATTTCCGAGGTTCATAGTGAAAAGAAGGAAGAAGATGAGACACATGTTTAATGAGTAAAGACAAATCAGACGTTTCGTGTAGCATTACACATTTTCAATGGTTGATTGTTACATGATTACAGATTAATATGATGACATGATGACATATAAAAACACATCAAATGTACAATATCGATCGGTGTTTCGAAGATGGTTTCGAATGTGGCAAGGAAGTGGAGCGACTTGAATTAATCACTTCGCGTGTTGTCCTGCGTTCCGTTTATGGCGGGGCACCTTCAAAAAGCTGGAGTATCCCTCTGGCGTTGACCTGTCTGTTGATTTTAGGTTCCAGTTTTCTGATGTAAACTGCTTCCAGTATATGCAGTTTTCTCTTGTCTGTTTCTTGACATAGTATGGTGATGTTCTTAGTGATGTCAGTTCGTGTGAGATGGTCGTCTTGGTGGTGTGTGTCGTTGTGTGTCAGCAGCGCGCCCTGTTGCAGGTGCATTGTTATTCTTCTGCTAAGTGTCGTTGTTGTGTGTCCGATGTAGCCACTGTTAGCTTGGAGCGCACAGTCTCCCTTTTTGCATGAGTAGTGGTATACAACGTTCGTCTTTTTGAGGATAGATGGGTCGTTGGATGGGTTGTTTCGAAGGACTAATGATTTGGTCGTCGGGTTTTTGTAGTAGATTATTAGTCTGACCTCATGGGATGTGTTCGTGGGTCTGACGTTCCGTTTGATGATTGTTTTGAGGGCCTTTTCGTCATTTTTGTAAGCCGGGGACATTTGATTTTTGAAATATAGTGTGTGAGTAGTGGATGTGTCTTTGTCAGGTTCAACCTCACGGGACTGAGCTTTTTTGTCCATGTAAGCTGATAGGGTTTTGTTTACGATCGAATCAATCAGGGAAATTGGAAACCCATTATTTGTCAAGAGTTGTTTGATGTGTCTTAGCTCACGGTTGAAAAGTTCCCAGTTTGAGCAATGCTTAAGGGCCCGGTGAACATATGCTCTAACGACGCTCTCTTTGAACTTATCCGGGCAGACACTAGAGCCGTTTAAGCAGCGTCCCGCATCTGTGGGCTTTCTGTACACTGTGGTGGTATACTGAACGTCGGATGAGTCAATAGCGACATCAAGGAAGTTGATTTTGCCGTTTGTGTTCAGCTCGACTGTGAACTGTAGCCCTGAAATCTCTTCTAGTTTGACTTTAAGGACATGCAGATCGTCCAGATCTTCAACATCTACGAGGATATATCAACTTCAACATCTACGAGGATATATATATATATATATATATATATATATATATATATATATATATATATATATATATATATATATATATATATATATATGATATTGGCGGCCCTGGTGGCGCAGTCGGTTAGGGCGTCGACCCGCGGTGCGGGCGGTGCCGGGTTTCGGGTTCGATTCCCGGTTCCGCCCGTTCCGCGGGCGTCGTCCCCGGCTGTGTCACCAGGTGTGGGGTAGGCTCCCACTTCAGCCGTAGCCTGGGGGGTGTGGGAACAAGGGCCAGGAGGAGGAGGAGCCCTCCTGTAATTGGGCCACAAGTGCCTGTTGGAGGGAGGCCAAAAAAAAAATATATACCTGTATAGGGGAGAGTGGGGTAATTTGGCCGCTTTTTTTTAGAAAACGATGTAACTAAAAATCGACAACACATTTCTGCATTTTCTCAACGCTGACAGGTGTGGCATACATTTTACTTTCGTGGACAGTAAACTTGAAATGATAGGGTAACTACTTATATTGAAATTGTGACGTATTACAAAGGTCTGCAAAGCGGCCAAATTGCCCCACTAGCAGGGTTATTTGGCCGGGGGTGTGGGGCAATTTGGCCGGTGTTATTTTGAGGCCATGATTTTTGTTATCGGCGAGTCAGCTTCACATTCAGCAATGACGCGTGTCCTACGACGCATTTGAAGCATTTTGGAGGTTGACTCAGCCGTCACAGGGGTCGAAAATAGTCAAAATAGCGGCTCTAGATGCGATGACAGTTTTTTTTTATGAATAGCTTTTGAAGCAATCAAGCTAGGCCAAAACTAAAAGTACCATCGTAATTCTCTCGTTATTCCGCATCGAAACATGTATGTGTTGACCTCGAGAGGTCAAGGTCAAAGGCTGGCTTCAGGTCACGTTACCTCAGGTCGCTTGACCTCAAGGTTACGTGAGTTCAAGGTCATCATGTATATCATTCGATGCGCCTTGACGAGCTGAACACAATGAGACCATTTGCGCGGTTGCATCTTTTTTCTGTAAGTATTTATTAGCAAAAAAGCGTTAGGTAACCGTTGATGACGTCACATGCCCTTACAGCTGTCCAATAGGAAATATGGCATCAAGGTATTTAAAGTTGGTCATGAATTATGTCCTTTTCCATTCCTCTCGACATCTGTGAATGAATAAACATCATCAAATTTCTCCTCAAGAAATCACGAGGCAGACAGTTGGGTGCTGATTGATTGGGAGTGTATTTTATATACAACCAATACCAATTGCGTTCTTTCACATATACACACAACCCTGCCGAATACATCCACTAACCGTTGCGTCCCATCACTTCTAGCGGGAAAAAAACGGTGCCACCACCACCGCACCCAGCTTTCACGTACATGATAACGAGGTGTAAAAAAAAAAATCGAATGCCCGCCAGCGCCTGATTAGTGGGCCGGGGGGGGGGTGGGTGTTCGCGGACGAAGATCGGGAGCGACTGCGGCCGGGCGCAGGGGTCCTGGACCGATCCAGCACCCGGCGGCCGGCGCCCCTGGTCGCTGATTGGCGGAGCCGAATGACCTGCGGCGGGTCAGACCACCGCCCGACGAGCCGCGCCGTTCCGATCACCAAGCAGCTGGTTGATTTCGATCGATGGAAAAATCGCCTAATAAGGTCTTATCAGGCATGCATTTATGGTATAATTGACCATGACAACTCAGCCGTCCGAGCATATAGTGACTGAGCGCACCGGCCAAGTTGCCCCGCTAGTCCCGGCCAAATAACCCCACATTGCCATTCTGAAAATTTTTGTCTATAAAGTCGTCATGGGTGTACAGAACTAGATGAAATTGCTCTTGGAACCGCTGAACACCCTCAAGAATGGCGCTATAATGTTGGAATTCGTTTACAGCCCAAATACTGCATGTCATACACATTTTTAAACGGAAGTAAAAGTTACCATTTTCTAACGAAATTCACGTTTTATTAATTTTGAATAAAACTAAGAGGGGGAAAGTTTTGACATTTGTCCTCCAGTAAGTTCTGCCGATGACAAATGAATAGAGACTAAAGTTATTTCATTCACTTTTGTCAGCTTTCGTACAGGTGGGGGCGGCCAATTTACACCACCGGCCAAATTACCCCACTCTCCCAGGTATGTTACAGGGCATGGGCTTACCGGGCATGGGCTGCACAATGTAGCGGCTGAGGACACCCAGCAGGGCGGCGCCGGTGAGCCGCGCACGGGTGGCGGCCCGCTCGCGCTGCTCGCCGCCGGCGGCAGCTGCTGCCGGACCACCCAGGTACTGCAGCTGGCACAGCTCCCGGCTGGGCGCGGAGCTCGTGGCCGCGCCGGCAGCACGACCGCTCTGCAGTGGCAATACACACGTGGCCATCTCAATCATCGGCGGTCAGAGCTCAGCACAATGACATGAGGGGAAGACAGTGGGTATCTAAAATGGTCCTGTGCAGTTCCAATCATATATATATATATATATATATATATATATATATATATATATATATATATATATATATGTATATATATATATATATATATATATATATATATATATGTTGCAGGCACTTTAGAAAATCAGTCATTTTGTAAAATGCCTAGGCATTTTGCAAAATGCCTGATTTTCCAGGCTTTTTGCAAAAAGCCTAGGCATTTTACAAAATGACTGACTCTCCAGTCATTTTGCAAAATGCCTAGGCATTTTACAAAATACCTAGCCATTTTACAAAATGACTGAGCAGCGTGTTGTACATAGATTAGAGGTGTCAATCGGAACCGAAAATTTTGGAATTCCGAAAATTTCCGAATTCCGATTCGGAAATCGGACGGACAAGTGACAAACACATCGGACATTTTCGGAAAACTAGTTGAAAGTTACAAATTTCTTAAATAAGTTAAAGACCAAACTTATTTCCATTATCAATATCCAAATTGCAAAACATGTCATCAAAATTGGCAGGGAATAGGTGCTTCATACATCATTCATAATCATAGTGCAAGATGAACATAAACGTGATTGCATTTAGCGGGTAACCCTGAGTCAAATAAGGTAGGTACATACCCACATGTACTGTGCCAACTTTTAACTCTTGAAAATGTGTTTACAAGTAGCAATAGCCAATATGTGACATTGCTGTCAGCAAGCCCATCATTAGATAACACAGTTATGAATATTGAATATGATATACAATTGACCTGTGGGAAGCACCAGACACCAAAGCAGTAAAGTAGGGAATCCAAAAATAGTTTTGCCTCACTGGAAAGTTAACAGAAAAGAGACTGAAGAAAATTGCAAATAGGTATCAAGGTGTGCCAAGTAGCACAAGAGTCTTGTGAGCCGGTGTGAACCCGGCTTTACCTAGAACCTCCTATCATAAAAGTCATCCCCTTCTACCCCTTCCCCCCAAAACATCCGTGCCGAAATATCGAATACAATGCTACATAAAATATTAAAAGATGCCGATAGCCTATCAATAAAATGATTACCAAAAGGTGATGAAATGCGGCGAAAGCGTCATAAACGTCACCTAAGGAAAGATGGCCTCCCGATGAGAATCGGAGGAGACAAAAAATGACGTCTAAAACAATTAATACAGTAATTTTGCTTGACAATTGCATTATTTTCGAAAAGTTATGATAGTTTAAAATACATATTGAATTTAAATCAAACGATTAATGGTGAATGCACTTCAATTGGACAAATTTTATTATTTTAACGTCATATTATTGATTTACTTTCACATCGACTCAAAGCCGGATACCATGTTCCATGCTACCGAGAATGGTAGCATGAAATGTGTTTTTCATTCTACCAAGGATTTATACAACTTCTTTTTGCTTGTGAATTTCAGTGAATTTGTGTTAAATCATAGCAGGTATTTTTATTTTTGTGATCGCTTATTCTTTTGGATATTCAGAGATGTGTGGCTCAGTGAAGAGCACGTTTCTTCTAGGTGTACCTATCTCACATGTTTCTTCTCACATGAACTATTTTGCTTTTGCAAGAAGTGTTCTACTTTACATCTCAACCAGTGCGATATAAGATGGAGATATGCATCATTATTGTAAGTGACTATAGTCTGTTCCATATCAAGCTTGCAGTCGGAGTTTCTTCGGCAGATCGCTCCTCCGCTCAAGAAATTGCTTCTTAACCCGCGCCGGGCCGGGGGGGGGGGTGTTTGAACACCCCCCTTGCGGTTTTTCGCAGATATCTCAAAAACGGCGGCGCGGAGCGCCGCCGTTTTTGGCACACCTGTTCGTGCATCTTTTCCGCACATGTTGTGAAAATTTCAGACCCAGGTCACCTTAGGTCAGGTCACCAGGTCACGCCAAGTGACCTCACCTCAGAAAAAATAAGAATGCTCGTCATAGCTACACCGACTGAACGATCGCCTTGAAACTTTCAGCGATTGATTAGAGCAACACTATCTATAAAATGTATATCTCGGAATTTTGATATCGGTGACCTAAGGTCAGGTCAATTTTGCGGCCTCTCCATTATAAGTCAATGGGAGAAAATTGAAAAGCGTCTGTTTTGCACGAACGCTATTCTAGACACTCTCAAACATCGATATGTAGGTAAAATAGACACACTGAACCAGAAAATGGCAACTGTGACCCCTCGTTATGTCCCCGAGGTCATCTCAGGTCACGAACAGAATCTAACAGTTTTTCGATGATAACTTCTGATAGAGGAGTGCTAGAGCGCTGAAAACGCCTTAGATGTGTTCGGCTCGACGTTGCGGATCGACTGATATGCAACATGACCTTTTCCGGTCAGGTCATGACCTTGATCTGAGGTCAAATTTTCAAGTTGACCTTTCAAGGTCAAATTATAGTTCATTCGACGCGTCTCGACGAGAGGAACACGATGCTGGCAAAAGTAATGTCATAGCTTATTTGAGTCAAAAGTTATTGCCGAAAAAACGTTTTTCATAAAAACGGCTATTTTTGGAGTTTTTGCCCTCTGGAGGCTAAACTGTTGACCTGAGGTCAAATCTGAGAACATTACTCAGAAAGGTCTGTAAAAGAGCTATCGAATGCGCTTTTTTGCGACGCTGTAGCTCTGTCGGTTCCCGAGATAGCCGTTGGCAGTTTCCAAAATGTTGAAATAGTCAACATTTTACCTTTGGTGACCTCTGGTGACCTGACCTTTGACCTGACCCAAAAAATGACCGAAGTGTTTTCGTCCTTATTTTTGACGTTCTTTCGATTGCCGCTTACCGCGTGTCGCTACGTGGCCCAGGAGCCGAGTTAGAAGGGGGGTGTTCAAACACCCCCCCGCGGCCCGGCGCGGAATCTCAGAGCACCGGCCCGGCGCGGGTTAAAATGTAAGAGCTGTATATGTTACAGGCAATGTGTGGAATCAGGCATTCTATAGAATGCCTAGGCATTCTATAGAATGCCTGATCGACCAGGCATTCTATAGAATCCCTAGGTATTCTATAGAATCCCTGACTGCTTAGGCATTCTATAGAATGCCTGGCTTAAGCTCCCAGGCATTCTATAGAATGCCTAAGTATTTTGATTGTCCGAAACACACTTCGAAAATTAGGGGTCAGTGGCAGTAATGCTATTTGTTTACCTAATTTTCATTGTTGGCCTAGGCCGGTCGTCACCTCACACCATTACAGGGCAATGAGCTGAGAGGAAGCGAGGGAGGTATTGGGCTATGCCGACCACCAAATGGTGCGCCGCAAGCAGCAGCTGATCCAATTCCGTTGGCACGGGAGAGCCACGGCGCAAGGCACGCGGGAGAGTCACAGGCCAACCAGTCGCTTAAACGGTTACCCTCGGAGGATTATGCTGCTACAGATACGAAGCTGCATTAGAAGAGTGTTGGCTGGGAGGGTGGACCGTAGGCTTGAATCGAAAGTGATTGCGAATGACGATGGCTTTGTTCTGATGTTAGAAATGAAGGTGAAAAATACACCAAAGGTCACATTTTATGTCGTCATAAGCACTTCGTGTAACGACTCTCAATATACATACATGGACAGCTCAACCTACACCGTAATGTCAGGGAATAACCTGAATAAATGGTTCATTATTCCACGTCTGGGCGGTGGCCCAGCCATAACAAGAGCCGGATTAGGTGTTGTTCGATCTCCCCTTCCAGCTTGACCTCTGGGCCATCCGGTATTCGAAAGGTCGTCAAAGACTCAAAATTATGAAATTTTACTTCAGTTCTTCTTTGGCAATGTTCGAAAGGGTGCCATTTCTAAAACAAATAGCTAAGCCATTTTTTTAGGTCAGCCCAATTTTTGTCCATTTTTGGCTCCTAGCCGTTTTCTCCAGTTTGACCTTAAATCAATTCCTTAGAAGGCAAACACCTCAAAAAATGGACGATTTGTCAATTTTTTCTGTGTAATTTTTTTACCAAAGGCGTTTCCGATATTGACATTACCACCATCGTCTTTCTAGCGTTAAGATAAATACTCTGTACTCTCAGAATGAAATCCTGATACAATTTGACCTAATAAGGTCAGATTGAATACCTGACCGGAAAATTTGACTGAATGAACATTTGACTGAATGAACATAAATAGCTGAACGCAAGGTAGCCTGGCAGAAAATAATAATGTTACATGTCGGTCTGTGCTCATAATCTTATACAACATACACTTATATGTTGGAAAGATTCGTGTATTTCCTAGGCATTCTATAGAATGCCTGAAAATCAGGCATTCTTTAGAATGCCTAGGGATTCTATAGAATCCCTGGTGGGTCAGGCATTCTATAGAATACCTAGGGATTCTATAGAATGCCTGGTCGGTCAGGCATTCTATAGAATGCCTAGGCATTCTATAGAATGCCTGTAACATATATACAGAAATCACGCACTGCTTTCAGGAGGGCACTTCGGCTGCAAACTTGAAACGGAACAGAGTATAGCTGCTTGCATTATTGCTGTATTGATTCATCATCAAGTGGCTTAGTGTAAGGGATGTGGCATGTAATCAATATTTGAGAACGCAAGTTCAAAATAGTTTTGAGTTGGAGGGATATGCAATGTTTTGCATTATTCCTCCTTACTCAGCTTCAGTTGTAGGCTGTAGCACATTTTGAAGCAGAATAGGCTTGTCTCAATATGCTGTTCTTGTGTTGTATATCAGATTAGGCCTATTGCCCTAATGCCCATTCCCTACTGCATATCAATATGATATTGCTTCAACATTTTTAGTTTGCAATATTTTGCACTCAAAACCAGATGGCGGATCTGTTATTTAGTTATGTGGTACATACAAACATATACCTAATATAGATCAATTCCCCCACCCTCTCTTTCCATATCTAGCTTTCGGACAGTTTTCGGACAAATCCATGCCTTGGACATTTTTCGGACAAAAG